CCACCGAGTCAGCACTACGTGCTTTAAAGATGGCGGCGTGTATGAGTGCTGGATCTGATGTTTTTATTAGCCTGAAGTTTGTCATTTGAAGTGCTGTATTAAGCAAGCTGTGCACGTCAGTCTTTAATATATCGTGTATGAGACTCGGGCTCCGGTCGTTCAAATGTCCGAGGGCAGATAGATAGACGGGAATGTGATAGCTCACTGCGCTCAGACAGGTTGAGTTGTGTTGGTGGCCAGTTTGACGCTAAAATTGACAGCTTTAATCAGCTAGCAGTTCACATACTCCGAGAGGACATCGTGCACGAAACTCAGCAAATGTGACCTTCTGTCTGGCCAATAACATCCTACTAGTCAGATCCATCACGTTCATATCTGCTCTGGTCATATGTTTAGAAAGTAAGATTAGCTGCTTTCTTTACATTGTTAGCAGGTGATCTGCCAGTCACTGAATGCTGCTAGTTACACTAACTTACATCTTTGCAGATACATATATTGTGTGTTAGTGCAGTTTGCATTGCTTTTATTCACTTTGAAAAGCACTTCCAGCATTTTCAAACCTATAATGAACGAGTAGTTTTGACTGGTGGTCTTTCTGTCTTAAACAGAAGGGGAGTCAAACCCTGAATGGTTATAGTTACATTTCTCTGGTTTTCATCTATTTCCCGGTAGTATAATGCTCTCCCGAGCTGTAAGGAAATCTCTCTCCTATGGAAATGCAGTATTGGCGGGTTTCTCTGGCAGCTATTATTGCAGTCGTGTGTGTTTTCATCAGACCGCCGTGTGTAAAGTTGCTTCGCAAGCTGAATGTGCCTTCAGACCTGCGAAAGTGGCTGTTGTGACTAAAACCACACGATATGAGTTCGAGCAGCAGAGATATCGCTATGCGGGACTGTCGGAGGAGGACCTCAAACAGCTGGTAAGCAGATACTAATCGAGAGGTGAATAAACCTCTTTATCACATCTCATTCAGCACCATTTTAATCCGTTACAGTGCCTTTAAAGGGACAGCTCATATTTCTCGTAGACATATTTTCTATGAAGAATGTGTCTGCTTTTTCGTTTTTTTTTTACTTGATTGTGAGATAACTTTTATTATAGAAAGAACTTTAACTTTGTAAACAAGATAATTTTACCTAAACATTTTTACCAAACCAATCGTTTTATATTAACACTTTACTCTACAGAACACTTCTGTTAATATTTTACTTTTGTTTTCAACTCAAAATATTGTCTTCTCACTAGCAAGCGCAATGGACATAAAGGTATAGTTCACTTAAAAATTATTTCCTGTTATTTTACTCACCCTCTGGTGATCAAAGATGACTTTTTTCTTCAGTAGAACATTAAAGAAGTTTTTATTCACAGCCTGGTCAAACAGTTCTCAGCACATATGTGAATGTATTCTGATTGCACACCAGTAGATTTCGGTGACGAAAGTATGCAAGTTTGTGACTTATTTAATTTAATTTAATAAAAAAGAATCCCCATTTACTGCCATTATGTGGATCACCAAGGACCACAGATTCAGTTGAAACTTTCCTTTAAAGGACATATATGATAAAAATCATCTCTTGAAAGCTGTTTGGACAGAAATGTGTGCAGGTTTAGTGTGTCCACAGTCATATTGGAGTAATATAAACGCATTAAGTCTCTTTATTTTTAATTTCCTGACTTTGAAATAGGATCCAAATCCTTCCCATTTTGAGGCCCACCACAACATGACGTAGGAGTGCAGTTTACCCGCGCCCCAATGGATTAACAGCCATATATGTCTCTGTAGTAATGCGTATAATCATATCAACAAGACAGGACGTGCGCAAAGCAACCAAGATTAAAAGATCTGTTCAGCTCGCTGTGATCATCAATCATCGTCAAATGTGATCAAGAATGAATTTTACAAGTTTAAAATGTTTTTAAAACAGTGCATGTTTGTAAAGAATTACAGCAATTTTACCATCTTTATCTTCACAGCCGCATGACAGTATAATTAGAAAAAGGACGATTCAGACCCGGCTTGTGGATGTTAAATCAGGGTTATTTTGTACATTAACATAGAGGTTTGTCCATACAGCATACGGCCGCCATTTTAAACAACGAAATCGAGGCTGTGTTGGGAATAAACCAGGAAGTATCGCCTGAGTCACACAGGAATATACCTGGCTCTATATCTTCTCAGCGAAGAGAAAGTGACACAAATTTATCATTTCACTGCCTTTCAAGTGACCTGAAGGTCCATTCTGAATGAATAGTGAAAATAAATGTTCAGCTTAAGGAAGTGGCACTAGTTAGCTAACTTTTTCTTTCCGGAACACATGTTTTAGATGCCATTTGTCATACTCAAGTTAATATACTGATTCTTTAAAAAGGTCCATTTCCCGTTAACATTTAAGGAACTGTTGATGGCGTTCTTAAACACCACTGATTTGCCATAGTGTTCACGTGCTCAACAGAAATGACTGTGATTGGCCGTGAAGGTCGTCAGCTCACTGCACTTCACTGATGTTTACCGAGGGCAAACACAGACAAGCGATCCGCTTGATGAATCGACTGATCTTTACGGCTTTAAAACGATCCAGTGTTCATGCAGCTATGTTTGCAATCTGTGAAGAGCGGTGAACTGATGACCTTCACGGCCAATCGCAGCCGTTTCTGTTGAGCACTGGTGAAAACTATGGCAAATCAGCTGTTTAAGAACACACTCAGCTGTGCTTAAATGTTAGCAGGAAATAACAATTTTTTTAAACTTAAGTACCGGACAATACCATTACAGACAACATGAGGGTGTGCTACAGAAGACTGCATTGTTTTAATACTCACCGGGTTATATACTGTAGGCTGAAGCAGAGTAGTGTCCTCGCAGTATTTACCTGGTGCAATGAACCGAAGTCTAGGAGGACACTTAAGCATATTACTCTTACAGAGATTGTGATGTTGTTTGATGCCTAATATGGTTTTAATTGTTTAAATTAAACTTAACTGAATGATATAAAAGTGATGTTCACAGCATATTTGCATTTTGAAATCATGGCAACAGCTGGAGGTTTGGGTTCACAGCATGTTGTTGCCATTTGTACAGTGCTGATCTTATCCTTCCCGGTTTCTTCCCTCCGCAGCCTCGCTTTCATTCTTTATAATGGCGACTGCGTGAAATAAGCATATTAACTCCTCAACAAATACATCAAATAATCACTGGGAAAGTTCTTACTGTAATGTTTCTCACAAACGTTACGTAAGATCCGCTTCCTTCATGTATGTCACTGTGCTGTTTGTCTGACGCAAACAAGACGGAGACTGAAACACTCTGACAGGCACATGGGAACAGTGGGTGGGGAGAACTAGCATTAAAGGCACAGGCAACAAAAACAGCTACACTGTTTTCAGAGCAGGTCATTTCAATATTCTGACAGGTTTAATAAATAATCTGATGGGTGTTTTGAGCTGAAACTTTACAGACACATTCTGGAGACACTAAAGGCTTATCTTAAATCTTTAAAAAAATGGGTCAAATAAGTGACCTTTTAATATTCTACTAAAGAAAAAAGGTCACCTACATCACCTACATCATGCATGACCTCTGGCGGGTGATTAAATAAATAAAAATGTTTAAGTGAACTATCCCTTCGAGTATTTAACAATAGGTATTTAACAATCCTTTCAGTTACTACAAACAATACCTGCCGCATACTTGAAAACAGTTCTAACAGATTCTAACATACTTCGATACAAAAAGATGATGTTCATATTTATTTGTAAGAATCAATACACAGCTTATAAAATTCTGTCTTCTGCTTGCTATCACAGCTTGCTCTAAAAGGATCGAGTTACAGTGGGCTTCTGGAGAGGCACAATATACACACCTTCAATGTTGGACATATTGTGGAAAGTCTACAGTAAGATGAACCCCCCAAATCTCAGTTATTTCAAGTATTTGGCATAATTTTCCAGTATTGACAAGACCTTAATTCTGTGTAGAAAACAGGGGATTGAGGTGCGTGTTGTAAAAAGAGGAGAGTATGATGAGGAGACGGTACGATGGGCCGATGCCATCATCTCTGCTGGAGGTGAAGCTTGCTTTTTTACATTTGATATTATAACAGTTTAATTTTGAAAGATGGTACTTACAGGACTTAATAGATGTACAGTGGAAATCAACATTAGAGAGCGATTTATGAACGCTTGTTTTTTGAGAAATCTCATAATCTTCATTGTTAATATTTTTAGTTGTGCCTCTCTATACTTATATACAGTCAAGCCCGAAATTAATCATACACCTGAGGTATGAATGATTTCAGGCTTGACTGTATAATGTAAAATATAGTTTTCACTCCTTGTATGTTTGCATATATTACCACTTTAATAACTTTTAACTTTATGGAGAACACAGTGATTGTAAGACAACTAAAATTTGTCTTACAATCACTACAGCAGTGAGAAAGAAGTAGAAAGTATACAAATTGTAAAAATATAACATACAAAGTGCTTTAAATGACAGTAACATCACTAATTTTACAACCTCTTTGAGGGTAGTCTAGGGTAAAAGGAATATCATTTAAAGGTGTTTCAACTTTACCATGTAATGTTGGAAGCAAAAGACATGGACAACACAAATGCCAACAAAAGTGATTTAATGTACAAAAGTAAAAACCATAGAAATGCCCATATATATATATATATATATATATATATATATACACACACACACACACACACAATTTTTTTGTGTGTGGGCTTTTATATATATATATATATATATATATATATATATATATATATATATATACGCACACAGACATACACACAAAGAAATATTTACAATAACGATAAAATTATACAATAAAGTTGCAAGTAAAAAAAAGTATCAAACTAAATATTAGAAGAACTTAGGAGTAAGAGATGATAGTGAAGTCAAACAAAAGAAAGAAATATAACAAAACAATTCCAACTCATGAATAACCTCTTACCTCGCTAGAAACATATGCAAATAAAAGAAAAGTCTTCAGTATCTTGTGCTGTATTTTTCCCCATACACAACTGTAGATTAAATAAAAAAACAAAACAAGCCGTTCACCTCTTACCTGGTGTCTAACAATAAATTTCTTACGTGTTTGCAAGAAGTCATACGACTTTTATATATAACCCATCGCCCAATTATGATAGACCAGTCTCCTGACCCATCAACTGTTAGGTTGCGAAGGCGAACCTAACAGAAGTGACAGGCATGGAGAGGGAGAGTAGGAACGGTTGAAAAAAATACAACCAACATACGACTGCGGCCGTAACACTAGTTTCTAACATCACTAGTGTCTCACAGGACATTACTTGTCACCAAGGAATTTAAAAAGAGATTTATCAGGTTTAGATTAGGACTCTGGGCTGCCATTTTATTCTTTCAGCATTCAGATAAGCACCGTTGAATGAATCTCATGTTGCTGAAGGAGCCTTTTAACATTTGCAGTCATGTAGCTCATTAAGTTTTACATATTGTGCTTTAGAATACAGTTGAAATCAGAATTATTAGCCGCCCTGAATTATAAGCCCCCCTGTTTATTTTCCCCCCAATTTCTGTTTAACGGAGAGAAGATTTTTTTTAACACGTTTCGAATCCTAATAGTTTTAATAACTAATTTCTAATAACTGATTTATTTTATCTTTGCCAAGATGACAGTAAAAATTATTTGACTAGATATTTTTCAAGACACTTCTATACAGCTTAAAGTGGCTTAACTAGGTTAATTAGGTTAACTAGGCAGGTTAGGGTAATGAGGCAAGTTATTGTATGATGATGGTTTGTTCTGTACATCGAAAAAAATATAGCCTAAATGGGCTAATAATTTTGACCTTAAAATGGCTTTTAAAAATTTAAAAACTGCTTTTACTCTAGCTGAAATAAAACAAAAGACTTTCTCCAGAAGAAAAAATATTATCCGACATACTGTGAAAATGTCCTTGTTCTGTTAAACGTTAATTGGGAAACATTTTTAAAAAGAAAAAAAAAATCAAAGGGGGGCTAATAATTCTGATTTCAACTGTATATGTACCTTATAAAATACACCTTTAAAAACTACACCTTTTCTTATGTTAGGATAACTTTAGATTGGACAAAGCAGTGAGCTCTGATTTTGATCTCCACTGTATCTTTGTTTCTAACAGACTGCTTTATTTCATAGGTGATGGCACCATGCTGCTAGTTGCTAGTAAAGTGTATGATAAGAGCAAACCTGTATTGGGTGTCAATACAGACCCAGAGAGGTAAAAAAAAAAATCCAGCATCTAGTAGTGACTGAGTTTCTTATTTATTTTTTTTTGTATGAATATGTAATGTTACCTGTGTTTTGTGTGTGAAGGTCGGAGGGTCACCTGTGTTTGCCCGTCCGCTACACACACGCCTTTTCTGAGGCCTTGCAGAAACTCAGGAAGGGAGATTTCAGGTGGCTGCTGCTTATTTACTCTTGCTTATTGTCCACAGTAATCCAATTTGCAGTGTAATCCTATTTGCAGTTGTTTTTCTGCACACCTCTTGCAAATGTTCTTTACTAAATGCCTTCTGGTGTGAAGTGCTATTTCATAGAAATCTTAATATAAATAAATGTCCTGTTAATAAGTTTGAGATGCATTTACCTTATGGGATTGCTGATGCTGCTAGCTAATAACTATTAATAAATTATTCGACGGATATGTATCCATGTGTGTATTTATTTATATATGTTTGTATCAGCAAAAAAAATAAATTACATTGTTTTATAACAAAATTCATATACATTTATTAAGAGACCATTCAAGTAGTGAGAATTGTCAGTTTTTCTAGTTATGTGTTTTAGTATTTTTGAAAATAATTCCTTATTCTTTTCCTCAAATTTCAAATAAAAATATAGATTTTACTTTAAAAAAAATACTGAAATTGACAGTTAGTCACTTTTTAAAATGTATTATGATAGAAAGTCAGGGTTATTCCACCCAATATTGAAATCCTGAACTTTTTTTAGGGTTAACATTGCTCCTGTTTTGTCTAAAAATGAAAAGAACGGTGTCTGAAAACACAAAGCTGAAATGTGATTTATTAAAAATACTAATTTAATCATCAAACTCTGGTTCTAAATACTCCTAAATAAATGTATGGTAAAAAAGCTCCATTATTGGGTCTTCTATAAGTCAAGATAAAGTGTGTGTTAGTCATTATGTTTGCTCAGACAAGTATGAAATTCAACAGAACACATTCTAATCACTGAAACCCAAATTAAAGCTGTATTTTGCTTTTATTGTTTTCTCTTTTATTTTCCTTGATCTACTCCCTCTATGTTTTCCCCTTCTCTTTTTTAAAAAGTGACTATCTCCTCTAGGTGGCAGTGGCGTCAGCGTATCCGCATGCATCTGGAGGGCACCGGCATCAATCCCACTCCAGTGGACCTTCATGAACTGCAGCTGAGTCTTCAACAGCACAGCAAAGCCCACCGAATCAGCACAGGCACCCAGAGCAGTATGAGACCACCACACACACACACACACACACAATACATCACAAATTCCAGACAGAAATGTCCCGCTACATGGTTTTTTACACCATATTTATGGGTAATGCAATAAGGAGATGTTGAGGGACATAAAGGGATAGTTCACCCAAAGAATAAATTCAGGTATTTTTTTACTGATGTTTTAGCCTAGTGGTTAGCGCTAACACATGGTGCAGTTCGAATCCCGAGTTCGAATCCTGGCTTGAGGACATTTGCCATCCCTACCCCCTCTGTCTCTCCCACTTCGCTTCCTGTCTGAAATACTGTCCTATCCACTTAATAAAGGCAAAAGTGCAAAAATAAATCTTAAAAAATAAATAAATAAATAAAATAAATAACTCAGAGATGCAATAATGAAATATTTTGCAAACAAAATGTTTTTAATGTAGAAAATGGTTAATATTATATTTTAATAAAATAATGCAAAAGGAAGTTACTTAATAAATTAGTGAAGCTTTTGTAAATGAAATGTGTTCTGTTGCAGAAAATAGATCATATAAATGAATAAAACAATGTGTTTTTATACTAATTTTATGACGAAAATAAAAATTGAATGAGATGTTAAAATTACTGAATATAAATACAATATTTCAATATTATGTTACAGCGATGAGTGAGTTTTCATGTAATGCAGTTTTTGATTTTGGTTCAATTGTGCTTAATTAGAAGTGGAAGTGGTGTTAGTGAGGCCAGCCCCAGTAAAGGTGAAGGGGACACTATACTGTCAGTAGGCACCATTTTTTGGATGAGACGTAAATCCATGACTCTCTGTGATCATTAAAAAATCCCATGGCACTTCTGTCCTGGCCAAAGGCCTTCAAGTGGCCCCTTATGATAATGGCCTCCCAATCATCCCCATCCACCAAACTGGCTCTATCACTGTCTCTTCACTCCACCAATAGCTGGTGTGTGGTGAGCGCACTGGTACTGTTGTCCTGTGGCTGCCGTCATATCATCCAAGTGGATGCTGCACACTGGTGGTGGTGTGGAGAGACCCCCCTCATGATTGTGAAGCGCATTGGGTGTATGGCCATACACAATAAAATGCACTATATAAATGCAAATTATAATACATTACATTAATTATATTCAAAAATTCAATTAATGAAAAAATGTGACATTTTGCTGTGTATTATTATTATTTTTATTATTATTATTATTATTATTTTTATTATTATTATTATTATTATTATTATAAGTAGGCCCACACGGAATCTGCACATGCAGAAATCTGCAGATTTTTAGCCCATCATTAAGTCCAAGTATTTACTTTAGAAAATGTGTGTAAATTTATATTTATTTAAATTAATTTTACTAATATTATTATGGTATAATAATAGTAATATTAAAATGTTGATATAGCATTTAGTCTTTATTTCTAAATTTTAATTTAATTTATTTGTCTTGTTAAATTTCTTCAATATTTAAACATTTTATTGATTTGTATTTTATTTTAGGGCTGCCAAGGTTAATGCACCTGTTACTACTTTATTTGGATTTAGCCTGTAGTCAATTTCCAAGCCAAAATGTCCAAGTAAAAAATGACAAGTTTATTTGATGTATTTGCGGTGGAGTCTGTTCAAGCCTTTCTGATATGAAGAGTCACTGACACCATGCAGCCATGGTGATCATAGCGGTTAAGAATTACATAGTGGTTTTACTGGTCTTTATTTTGAACATGCTCTGTTTTAACAATGTTTTAAATTAAAAAAAATAATTATTGAGGTTCGGCTGATCACAGAGACTTGTAACACATTTTAATGCCAGTTTCTTTGAAAAATAAGTTCTGTGGACAAGTGTATACATGTTATTATGGAGACATGGCATCTGTCAATCAATTCAGGTGTTTAGAGAGGAAAACTGCACTCCTACATCATGTTGCGGTGTGCCTGAAAATCACTGGGATTTGGGTCCTATTTTAACGTCAGGAAATTTTAAAAAAGAAACTTGTTGTGTTTCTATCACCCCAATATGACTGAGGACACACCATACCTGCACACAGTTCTGTCCAAACAGCTTACAAAAGTTGATTTTCATCTTAGGCTTTTAAAGTTAAGGAATGTTTGTTTTACTTTTAAAGTATACAACACTCTGATTACCATCTTGCGAAACAGCACAGAAATCATACTGCTATTATTGTTTTCGTATCAGGCACTCCCCACGACAGTCCCGAAGCGCCTCATTTACTGCCAGTCCGTGGGCTCAATGAGATCTTCATTGGCGAGTCTCTGTCCTCCAGGTAATACAATCCATGCCTGTCCACTTTTGTGTGTGCTTTAACACTCTTCCTCCAACCATCGCTCACATCAGCACTGTCAACTCCTCCTCACTCCATGCATCCCCCATCTGCCCTTACTTGTGGATTTCTGTCTGCCACAGGTTGAAGTATAAATCCTTCAAACCCCATCTTACCCTCTCGCTTCATAGGGCTTCATACTATGAAATCTCCATTGATGACGGGCCGTGGGAAAAACAGAAGAGCTCAGGCCTCAGCATTTGCACTGGAACTGGATCCAAAGCCTGGTAAGCTGAAGCGTCGCTTTGCTGATTTTCTCAATATGAAATCTGAGTTGTCAGATCATTTGTGTTTCTTTTATCCAGGTCTTACAATATTAATAAGCTGGTGGAGCAGGCAGTGGAGGATGTACTCAGAATAGGTTAGAAACTCACAAATACAGATCGTCACCTTGGAATCATGGGTTTATCTTTGTTCTCAATGATTTTGAGATATTGAGCTTCAAAGTTTTTGCATTCCATTCAGCAAACAATATGTGTTTAACAGTTCTCTTTAACATGTCAGAAACTCTAAATGTACTCTAAATATACATTATCAAAATTCTCTTCAATTTGCAAGTTGGAGTAAAACAAACAGGGTAAATGCAGATAAAACACTCTAATTCTGAAGTCATTTCCACTTGGAATTATAAGGTTTTATCTGGCAGATCATTAATTGAAGCATTACTTTTCAAGAAATTCAAGCAGTCTGCTATATAAATTGACGTTGTAACAATATGATGATGCTTGAGAAAGTAAATTTTAGTTTTCTATTACATTTATTTAATGTTTTAGGATGAATATTTTTTTTTTCTTGTTTGAATAAAGCAAGCAAGGCTGTGCTAAATATTTTGTCCAGTGCAGATGTTAATTTTATATAACTAACATGTTAATATTTATTTAATTAAATGCTTTATGGGAATTGTATTAATAAAATTATATGCCCCATGACCTAAATGAAGTGTTTGCCCTTCAAGGCTTAATATTAAATTTAAAGACTTTTAAAAGAAAACAGACAATGAGCAAATGAGCTGTTTAACAAACACAGAAACATGTTTCACTGACTGTATACAGTTGAAGTCTAAATTATTAGCCCCCCTGTTTATTTTTTCCCCAATTTCTGTTTAACGGAGAGACTATTTTTTTTCAACACATTTCTAAACATGATAGTTTTAATAACTCATCTCTTTCATTCAGTCATTCATTTATTCTTTTTTTTTTCGGCTTAGTCCCTTTATTAATCTGGGGTCGCCGCTGTGGAATTGACTGCCAACTTATCCAGCATTTGTTTTTCGCAGCGGATGCCCTTTCAGCCGCAACCCATTCACACACACTCATACACTATGGACAATTTTAGCTTTTAGCCCAATTCACCTGTACCGCATGTCTTTGGACTGTGGGTTAAACCGGAGCACCTGGAGGAAACTCACGCAAACTCCACACAGAGACGCCAACTAACCCAGCCGAGGCTTGAACCAGCGACCTTCTTGCTCTGAGGCGACAGCACTACCTACTGCGTCACTGTGTCACCTAACTCATCTCTAATAACTGATTTATTTTATCTTTGCCATGATGACAGTAAATAATATTTTACTAGATATTTTTCAAGACACATCTATACAGCTTAAAGTGACATTTAAAGGCTTAACTAGGTTAATTAGGTTAACTAGGCCGGTTAGGGTAATTAGTCAAGTTATTGTATAATGATGGTTTGTTCTGTAGATTATCGTAAAAAAATTAGCTTAAAGGAGCTAATAATTTTGACCTTAAATTGGCTTTTAAATATTAAAAACAGCAGTAAATAAAACTAACAAGGCTTTCTACAGATAAAAAAAAATATTATTAGACATGCTGTGAAAATTTCCTTACTGTTAAACATCATTGGGGAAATTCAAAGGAAGCCTAATAATTCAGCTGTATACACAACTGAACACAACTGTATACACAAATAAATATTTCAAATTTAATACATTACATTTTTAATAACTGTTTCTTTTACAACATTGTAAAATTTAACTTTTCATATCAATGCTTGTTAAAAAATGCTTGTTAATCATCACATTGACACACCTTTTCACTTTCAGGTTTCTTCTCAATTTTCAGAAAGAGCTTTATAGAGCCAAGCTAGAGTTGACTTTATAGATAAAACTTTTTCGTTTTATTTTATATAAAAAGTCTTAAAATGTAAACGACTTACTTAAAAAAAACACACCACATAATGTAAGTAAGTTGACATTAAATAAGAATGTGTGAATAACTCTATTTTGATAAAAATGTCAGAACCATATGATTCTAAGGTGACGAAATTGCAAATAAAACAAACTCTATGAAATGGCATGAAATCTGACAGCCCTGTATCTTTTTTTTTTTAATTTTTTAGCTAAAACAAAGACTGGTTTGGAGGTGCCTCTAAACCGGGAGTTCGTTGAGAGTGGTTAGTTCTCTATTACTATATATTATATTATACATACATACATAGAATTGTGGGTACATTTTAAGATTGTGCAGGTTTATAATTCACAGCAAGCTGATTCCATTTATATGTAAAAAAAAAAAAAAAAACTGTACAAAAGCACGCACATCTCTCTAAATTGTGTGCTCAGCCAAAACCGCAAAAAGTGCAAAAAAATGTCAATCGAAGGCGGCAACACCAAGGCTCCAAAAATACAAATTTATTAAATTAAAAAGGCTGACACAGAGCGTGTAACGTTTCGAGCCTCCCGGCTCTTCATCAGACAAAAATGTATATGTAAAATAGTGCAAAATGACTCAATGTGATACACTCTCAGAAAAAAATGGTACAATGTTGTACCAAATAAGATACAAACCCTTATTACTGGGGCAGTACCTTTTTATTGAACAGAATTGTACATTAAGACAAAGAAACACATTTGTACCATTGCAGTTTGTACCTTTTAGGACATGATTTGTACCATGGGACACCAAAATGTACCTTTGTTTTTTAAAACCTGCTGACACAATATTTTACAATCATCAAAGGTACAAATCTGATCCATGAAGGCACCACTACAGTGACAAGACACTTTGTACCCTAACAGTGTTGAATGTGTTTCTTCAAGAACTTTTTAAATGCATTTTGCTTTATCCAAAATGTGTCAATTTATTTTCAGTAAATATAAAGCTTCAAATACATTTTTAAATAATGTTTTTTTAAGTTTATTTTTGTGTAGATGCACTTTTTCCCTTTACAATCAAGAGTAACAAATACTTCAACATAAATCAAAAGATCTTTTTTGCTAAAAATTTCACAACACTTCACAGAAATGTTACAGAAACTCATTCTCCCATGTACAATATAAAACATCTTTTCTCCAATTTTCACACAACACCTTTGTAATCACTTAAAAGTTCTTAAAGTTTTCAAATATAAATAGAATGTAAAAGTATTGTAACGAGATATGACCAATGTTTAATTCATTTTGCAATAAAAAAATGTCTGCATGGATACTTTGCATATGCAGGACTTTTGCCAGCTCATGTGCATATTGAAAAGCAAACGCCAAAAGGTGCAGATATCAATGAAATTGTATTTATCAGAAAAAGCTCATCACATTTATTAAAACTGCCTTGAATGTTTAGTTTAGAATAAATGTGTTTCTTAAAACATTTGCTTTCAAATGATGCATGTTTTAATATGGAGATCATTCATAAAATCACTTTGCCTTTCCAGTCATATTTATTTTCATAGATATTGTAATAAAGGAGTTGTCAAACACTTTTGTATCTTATGAGAACAATTGTGTACCCTCATTTCAGTTGTACCATATAAGGTACAGAACAGTATCATAAGAGGTCTTTTCTGTACCATATAATGTACAACTTTTAGAAAGGTACAAAACTGTTCCTTAAGGAATATTATTTGTACCACCGTGTACCTTTTTTTCTGAGAGTGTAGAGAACAACTAACTGTTATTTAACTAATGTTAAACATTTAAAACCACTGACAGAGGGGATCGAAACATTTTCAACCATTTTGTTCTTTAGCTTAAGATGCTAACCTCAAACCAGATATGTTTTAATGTAAAATAATGCAAAATCATTTAATGTAAACATTTGATTCTATTAGTAATTGTTGTTTTAACTTAATGGAAAACTTTTTAAATCACTGACAAAGGTAATCGTAACAGAGGTGACATTTTCCACCATTTTGTGCTTTAGCTCAAGATGCTAACCTCTGTTTTTAATGTAAAATAATGCAAAATGATCGTCCAAGTGTACTTTTGATTCTGTTACTAACTGTTGTTTAACTTGATGTTAAACTTTTAAAACCTTTGACAGAGGTGATCGTAAGAGAAGTAATATTTTTTACTTTAGCTTTAGCAAGATGCTAACCTCAAGCCAGATATTATGTCCAAAATCAGTTTTTTATGTAATTTCATCATCTTGTTGCTTTAATAAGTTGAATGTGAGATTCACTGAAATGTCACAGTAACAGAGTTAACAGTAAAGTATTCTGCACAAATGAATAAAAGAAGAAGAATCTCCAATGCCTTCCTAAGTTTTTCGTCAGAGGAAGTGAAATCACTTTGAACAAGTTACATGCTTTTTCTGTCAGTGCTTTGAGGATTGTCATGTAGGGATGAATATTAAATGTTTTTATTACTGAAATTATGAATAATACAAAAATCAGATGTTTCCTGCAAGTGTTTATATAACTTAGAAATGTTAATGATCAAAAAAAGATTAAAATTAGACTTCAATATTTAATGATAATTGAAGCTGAAAATATGAATCAGGAGGCAGAGGCAGTCAAATAAAGGTATAGTTGTTCATATGTTCAAGACAAACAGTCTCTAAATACACATACAAGCATTATTTTTACAAATAAGTTGATATAATTACCTATTATTCAAAACTGTCTCATAAAATTGTAGTTTTTCGGAAAAAATAATAGGTTTATTTTGGAGACTCAAAATGTTCCCGCAATTCTAGAATCCCTCATATGCAGTTGCTACATTATTCATTATTTATTCTTTTTTTGTGTGTGTGTTTAGTAACAGACACGTACAATGAGTCTCTAATCTTCAGCCCAGAGGAAGACAAACTGTTCTTCAGTGTGAGAGAGCCCATAGTCAACAGAGTATTCTCCAACAGCCGACAAAGAGGCTTTGCCAAAAAGTAAGTTTTTTTTTTTTTTTAATTATTTGTAAAAAAAAAAAAATTGTTATTGTCTTTCCAGATCTGTTATAATATTACAAAATGTTCACATCTGGTGTAAACATGACATAAAAGAAGATCAAATTGATAACATTTCTGCTATTATTATACCAGAGTATCACTGTTACGCTGTTAAAGGGGCCCATTATGATTTTTTTTCTCATTATTTTTTAAGATCTAGGGTGTCGCCAGAATGTTGCTATGGCCCTGTTTACACTGTCAGGTCTTGATGACCAATTCTGATTTGTTGCTTATATCAGACTTGTTTTTTTGCCTGTCCGTTTACATGTTCTGTTAAATGTGACCTATATCCAATTAATGTGTTTACTTGCCATACAATTTACGACGTCGCGCATAAAGGTGGGTTCTAGCATCTGTGCCACACCAGCCACAATGGAAGAAATTGTCTTGCAAATTATACGGAGATCACCCAACTTTTAAAAAAAAAATTTGAGGCGGAGGAGGGCTGTCATCACAGCTTGCGCCTATGGTTTTTATATGGTGTCCTCCACCATTCAGAGGATTTTGTGGGTATGAGAGAGATCTCAGGTCTAGTGGGAGCAATTTTGTGGCGACTGACCTCTTTCCTCCTCTGTTGTTGTTGTTTACCGTGTCGGCATCTCCACACATGTTCATCCTTCTACGTCATTAAAAAGTGGAGAAGTGCCACATAGTCACAAGTTTAATGATGTACAAAATGGAAATCCGATATGCCTGTTAACATGATTGTCCCATATCTGATTTATTTCCACATGAAGGATGCCTGAAACCAATCTCTGAATATCCGAATGCTTGCGGTTTTTTTTTCGTGTTTACACAGTCATAGAACCGATCCGATCTGTTACATGAGCAAAAAATCGGAATTGGGTCGCATTTAACTGGCAGTGTAAACGGGGCCTAAGTTTCAGCTTAAAATACTCTACAGATAATTTGTTACACCAATTTTTATGTGATGCAAAACTTGCTTGTGTGTCATTTTAAGTGCAAATGAGCAATTATTTCCCACCCCCTTTACAGCTTGTGTCTTGGACTCAAGACAAATGATCTATTTGGTTTTGATCATCCTGTCTAGCATGCTTATGTAACAGTGCAGTTGATCGTTGTCACCAAAATGCATTTTAAAGCCTTAAGTTTAAACCGCTGATATACTCTTCACAAAGAAAAGATGGCTATAATAATATATACATCACAAAGATATTAAACTAAAGTTCCCTTTAGCATCTTATTGGTCATAACTGAAAATTTCCAGCATGTTTGAAAACATTTTCGGCATTTAAAGTTGTATTTTGTATTTCTAATTACAGTGAGCGGAATAATCATAACATTTTCAAAATTTGGGTTTGGGTCAAATTGTTGTTGATTTAGAGCCTCATTTAATAAATATGAATGTTAAACCTTATTTTGTTATGATATTTGTAAAGGCTTTTAAAATGCTAACATGAATGCTTGTTTTGGACAGAGTTTGCGTTCGCTCGAGATGCTGGGATGCCTGCATGGTAGTAGACGGTGGAACGTCCTTCGAGTTTAACGACGGTGCCATTGCTACAATCAGCTTAAACGAGGAGGACCTGCTGCGAACTGTCATTCTTGATTAAATCCTGTGATTCATCAAACTGTTGCTTGACAAGCTTGAATATATTTATTGAGGAACGAACTGTCATCAAAGCCAGACTTTGAGATGAACAGCGAGGTTTGAGTATGAAGTGTACATAAAATCACACTTCCATAGTCTATGATTACAGCTTTCAGGAATAAACACATCTTTCCTAGATACACCACCATTAGATTGTCACCATATCAGTGTTTGGTGCATTCAAACAGCCCAGAAATACCCAATTATTGAACTGTGGCTTTTGTTAATATTTTGAATTCAGTTTGAGATGATGGTTTATTATACTTTTGGGTCAATCATGCACAGAAGTATTGGTTAACGCTTTTTGATGGTCTGTTTGAATATTAGTAGACTGTCTGCTTAATATCTGTTGATTCTGCTCCATCAACAGACATTTAACTGACTATAAGAAACTTTGCAAGTACATGTCAACTTACACTAACCCTAACAGTCTACTGATAATCTGTTGAGAATTAGTTGCAATGACACTTAAATTCAACAAACATACCATCAAACTAAGGAGTGACTGAAGTGTTTTGTTGGTGTAGAAATGAATGTTACTGAAGTTGTTATTTAAAAACATTTTATTTCTGAGAATAGAGCTTGAATTGAGTCAAACTCTGCTCCATCAGGTCAAGGTATACTGCAAAAGAGGCTCAAAATATGGCACAATTTTGTAAAACATTGGTGCTTTTTAAAATTGTCTGCATTATGCAATCTACCACAACATTTATACATGTCGGAGAGTAACATCTGAAGTGTTAACAGACCACAATGCGATGAATTTAACACTGAACAAGATTTTCACATGACTTTAAATAAAAAGCAATACATTTATTTACAATTCAGACGATGTAAACAGCTCATAAAAATACAACTATGTTGTACAAAAATTCAAGTCTTCGATATTAAAACTGGTCAGAGAAATGGAAGAGATTCACAATATTTCCTCCTCTATGAAACAGCTGCTGTAATGCTTTCACAGAACTCAATTCAGGAACAGTATAAAAAGCATAAAACCTTTTTCTTAATACTAAACTAGTCCTTTGATAATCCTAGAGTAAAACTGGAAACATTCTGGATTTCAAAATGATTTGTACCAAACATTGCAAGATAAAACATCTAGCAATCTTGTTCTCTGTTCATACCTTATTTTATAAACAAGATCACCATTCAATTCAAGATTGTCAGGATCTCCAACACAATTGTCACGTTCACAATATAAAAGGACAGGAAATAACAGTGATGTTTGAGACGTTTCTTTAAAATCACAATTGTAATTGGGCGCAAGGAGAGAGATCTGGACTATTATTAAAAGACAACACAGTTTGGTTTCCCTTGTAATGATGTTGGATTAAAAGCATTAATGTTTGTAGACGAGTCTGCAGTGCATTCCCCACAGTGTGCGGTCTTTCCGTGAGGACGAGGTGGGACGTGCCACAGTGGAGAACGGCTGCGTGTTGATCTGGATGTGCGGCAGGCTTTTACAGAGAATGGGAAGGTAACTGTCCTGAATGAGGCCGAACACCTCCAGGGTCTGCAGATTCAGAAACTTTTCAAAGTCGCTGGATAAGGGAAAAACAAAAGATTATTTAGTGTTTGCTTTAAGAGAGAAATATATTGATATACACACACACGCGTGCCCGCAGTAGGGGTGTAAGTAGGATGAATATCATTAATGTCTGAAACAAAATGTCATTGTGTTTGTTCATGAAGTGAACTTTCGCTTTCAGATTTGAAAACCTGCTGTCTGAGAGTGAAATTGTTTTTATTAAAAAATTTAATAAATACTAAGGAATCACCTTTAAAAATTATCACAATTAAGTGCTTAGCAAGGGGCATTACTGCTAATAATAAAAAACAAAAACTGCTGAATATATGTACAGTAGGAAATTAACAAAATATATTCAAGCAACCTGTTCTCTACTTAATATCCTAATGATTTTTGGCATAATAGGAAAATTTGCCCAGTCCATTTTGGGCTATCGTCAAAAATATAGCCATGCAACATAAAACCTTTGGATTTGTGCTCCAGGGTCACATATGGTGAATTAGATTGGCTGTTTCAGACTGTTGCCTTGAGACTGATAATGAGAACACACAATGACTCGTCCTGTGCAAGACACTGGTCAGTCAAGTTATCTACTAACAGTCATTGGTGTAGTGCATGTAGCATTGATGGTGAACATGCTACAGCAGCAAAGCTTCTTGATTATTACACCAGAACGAGAAAATAATTCCAAGCCATACTGACTTAGAAAACAAGCTTTAAACAGGGCAATTATTGAAACTATTTTTATAGCTTGTGGTCTAATACAATTTAATGATCTATGCTTTGCTAAGCTAAGCTAAAAATGCCTCTGCCAGACCCAGTGATCTGCTGAACGAATGAGAGTTGCAAAATGAGCCTATATCTGCAAAAAAAGGGTGGAGTGTTCCTTTAACTGGCTCAAAATCTTAATGCATAGCTGGTTAGGCCTATTATGATAAGGAATTGTTGTTGTGCAATATATTGTCACAGAAATTGTTGCAATAAGCAATATTATTGTCATTTTAAGACTATTTTATGCCACTGATTTTATAATGACTATTTAAACAGCACAATAATGCAAATGGAACAAACACTTTAAATTATGGAATCTAAATAATCTTAAATTATGGAATCTAAATAATCTTAAGAATGAGAAGAATTTTCATGTTAAAAAGATAAATGTCCTTAAGTGTCCTATTAGGTAAATGTCTAATTGTAAACTTTGACACCAGTGAGATAGGATGTAAATGTCATTGTAAAAAGGCTTTAATGTTATTTGTGGATTTGTTAATAAACAGCAAGGGCAAAAATCGAGGTCATCCCCAAGTAATGCCGCAGTCACACTAGAGTTTAAGCGTGCAAAATTCTGTCATAAGGTGCTGCAAAAAGGGAGCAATTCCTCCCTCTTTTAAATTTCTGTTCAGAGAGGTCATGTTTTGATCTTCGTTTGGTCCCACACAATCAAGTGATGCGATTTCGCAGGTCAGAGTTCACAAAGCTTGAACTTTGCAACGCAGAGAACTGCGAAACTTGATGCACAAACTTGGATTTCCGGTCTGACGCATTCGCGTGCTTATGAATGGAAGTCTATGGGGAGAAAAGTCCAGTGTGACCGCAGCTTTATGCATGACATATTGATTATTGTGACAAGCCTATAGCTGTTTAGATGATTGATACATTTAGATGGAAAACAAAAAGTAGCAAGATTCCAATAACAGCATTGCATATTGGCCAAGGTAAATTAACAATAAACAGCATAACAATTCAATCCATGAAGTAGCTTCTAAAAAGTGGTTTAGTGAACCATATGTGGCTCTGTTAATAAATTTAATTAGACATATTACAGGGAATGCTTTAACTAAATAAGGAGCTCTATGCACTTGAGCATTAAAAGGCAACAATTAACAAATATAACCCAAACCACCTTATTCAAATTAGATTTTCTTGCTATATTAAATCAACAAAATTGTGGAAAAAAATGCATATTTTAGACTCAATTTAAATATAAAAAAGGTTTCAAATTTAGTCTTTTAAAACTGTTCAACCAATATTGATCACCTAAAATGAGAATATATAAAACTAGGAGTTTCAAGTCGAGCTTTGGCCATGCAGCAGTAAAAGCAATAGTTCACCCAAAAATGAAAAATCCTCATTTACTCAACTTCAAGAGTTTCTAAAGTTCTATACATTTCTGTCTTCAGTTGAACACAAAACAAGATATCCTGAAGACTGCTGGAAAAAAAGCAGCCATTGAAATCCATAGTAGGAAAGACTATGGAGGTCAATGATTTTTTTTCTTCAGTATCTCTTCCCTTGTGTTTAACAGAAAAAAGAATCACAAACAAGTTTGAGGATGAGAAAATGAAAGAAATTTCATTTTAGTATGTACTATATCTTTAAAACAACTCTGTATTTGTTGAGAATTGAAAAACCAGTGCTGAACATTTCAATGTCTAGCACTACGCCCTTATTTACAGACATATGACAATATTTGTATTTGTGAACTGAACATTTCTTACATGAGAGAAGCTGGGTGGATCTGATAACAACGGCTCAGTCCCAGATGTCTGAGTGAGGAAAGCTGCTGCAGGACAGGAAAACTGTCCGTCGTCACAAGCACACTGTCACTGTAACGAGAGAAAGCATCACTCCGGTAAACAACTGCAGTTTACAATCAGGTTTCTGGTCAGACTTCCAAATCATCAACTCACCTTAAATCTAGGTCTGTGATGTTTGGACATCTTTTTACTATAGCTTTGACATCTGGAACACAAAAAAAAAAAAAAAACATTAAAAAAAGCAAAAAAGTTATTTTATGCTTGAACAAAAAAATAATAAATTGCATCAAGCTGAAGCTCCACGCTTTCCTCACCTTCCATTGTGAGGTTTTGTCTATAACCACTGATGTTCAGCTGAGAGACGCTTGAGGGAATGTTGCTGGCAATGGCTTGAATATGAAGATTGCTGAAGTCACACCACGACACGTTCATTTCTTCAATTCTGGGATGAAAAACAGGAGGTTGTGCACTTGTATGCATGATGCAGATATAATGTCAATAAAATTGTCTATATTAAGAAGCTTATTATACATATTAAGAACATTCGGCTTTATTGCTACTCAAGTACCCAGATCATTTTAATCTGTCTATATTAATCTTATATTTGAAAACTAAAACATTAGATGCAAGTGCTTTTATTCCTAATACCATATGTGCAAAGGTTAGCCCCTTTCACACATACAGACCTTTTCGGAAAATTACCGGCAATTTTCCGGAAAGGTTGTATGTGTGAACAGGCCCTTTTTAAAAATACCGGTAAATTCGTTGTGGCTATTTTCCAGAAAGAGAAGTTGTAAGATTACCGGTAATTTGCCGGAATGCTGCGCTGTGTGAATGCAGAAGGAAGATTGCCGGAAAGAGCGCGTCCACGTCTAGAACGTGCTGACGTGAGACACCTGCTTTAGCCAATAAGAACAGTCAGACGCATTCACGTGCGCGCGGTTCATTAGAATAAAAGCCTTTGAATATTTTTCCAGACACCTTTAGCTGCTAGATGTTGGTCAGATAACGTTTCTATGTTCCTTCTTAATGCTAACTGTGTAAATAATTATCGATAAAATGTTTATGATAACCCATT